CCTAGGTAAGAATTTATATTCTCAGTTCGGGTATTAATCAGGTATATATACAGAGATTAAACTCTGATCAACTGTGGGCCAGTCTTACCTCTAACCCATAGTAGCCCCTCTCCAGGATCTTGGTGTACTGGGGCAGTCCGATCTCACCAAGCCACCAGGAGATGGAACGGTTGTTCATGCCTTCAGGGGATCACTGTCATGATGGGATGCAGGATTCAGCAGGAAAGGGAGGGAAGTCAACAAACCATTTTGAGCACCATTTTATAGCTCTGCATAAATTCATGTTACAGCAGGTCACATTAGAAAAGTGAATATGCTCTAGTGCTTGTTATAGTGTACTGCGGTATACTAGAGTAAACGCAGTGTGTGGCAGCCCAGTTGATGAAGAACAATAGTTGCAAAGTACCTTCAAAAAGAAGCAACTAAAAGTAATCTAATCACTGTTAATAGATGTACTGGGTGTCAATTAATTTAAATAGTTAATTATTAGGTTATTTGTGATGGGTGAACATTCACACAAAGGCGTAATAGTGGTTTTGTTTGGTATTGAAAAGACATAAATGGTACCAGTATTGGTTGTTTTTTCTAAATTCCTTTTTTCGAGAATAAAGCCTAGAATAAAGTCTCCTGCATCTATAGTACTTCAATGTCTATTATGAGCTTTCATGTGTGCATTATGGGTCCAACATAACTAACAATATGGTCTGTAAGACAGACTAAAGTTATAAGAAACAAAATTACTATAGAGCATGTGGAAATATAGTAAGCACTTTGGGAATCCAAGTTAATACGTTGAGTAAACATCCTAAATTCTTGGAAGAGTGGGCCACTTTCAGCAGCCCTTGGTGATAAACTCCTCCAGTGATACCAATAAATACCGCCCTGAATGATAAGGCACGTAATTTAAACCACTGCATCACACCAAGCCATCCCATACAGGGATGATATTTCAAAGCTCGACTAAAAAAGAAACCGCACGACCTAATGCTGCTCTCAGAAAGCAAGATTGCATGCCTGCACCTTGTTGCAAAATCCTGCTAAAATGTGGTGCTTTTTCTAAAGAACAAAAAATAGGTCAAGGTTTAGTAATCTAGAAATAGCCATCCAGTTATTGTTAAATAGCTCAGTTTGGGTTTGTGAAAGTGCAAAACACGTTTGTTGTGAAGATTCATTTGTTGTTGGTTTAATGAAGATGAGCACCTTCCCTAATTGTTGTAACAATTAGTGACATTTGCAAGGGTCCACTTACTGTCACTTAACAGCTTGTTGCTGGTACTTTCACATCAGTATGTAAACATATTTCAGGTTTCTTTTTCAGTGTGAGTGAAGAAACAATTACCTGGTCTGTGTGACAGGGACCATGCTGGACAATGATAGGTCACTGTTCACATAGGCAGGATCATACAGCATTTATAAACACCTACCAGTAAATCATGGTAATATTGCAGTCTTTGCATAGCAGTTCAATCTGAATGCTTGGCAAAATCACAGGAATGCAGATTATAATGAAAAAGTAATGGATGTAAAATATAGAAGGAAGACCACTCTAGAACTGCATATTTGCTATTCCAATTTGCTTTTGTGAACACTCAAAGTGGAATCTTTTGCATGACAACTTGCTCCAGTAAAGCTCAATTTATTTCCCATGCATATATCAGTTCTACAGCTGCTCAGATTTTGGTGAAAATGCCTATTAAATTTTCCTTAGCCCAACTGTATTCAGATAGAATACAGTACTACTGCCCTTTCCTCTTGCCTGGCACATGCACTAATAAACCATTGAAGTTTCTACTGTGGGGTTAACAGACATGCTGGACTTACCTGGCAATGAAGGCAGGTGTAAATGCAGGCAGGCTATCTCAGGCAGGCAGCTCACGCCAAGCTGTCAGTGCTGACCGTTTCAGTCTTCACTGTCTTGTGTCTCCCTCCCTTCACCTGGCTTCCTAGAGGCTGTACCTTGCGTTATGTGGAGGTTGAGGCAATTGGTCTGCGGTTGGTCGAGTCCCGGGGCTCTGCGCACAGCCAATCAGAGGAAGCAATTATTGGGTGTTAAGCAGGAGTCTGCAATGTTGCATGTTTGGACAGAGTTTCACATACTTTTGATTCATGCCCTGCAGAAACAGAGAAGGAAGGGGGGTGGAGACAGGGGGTGCACCTTCCTGTTACAGGAAGGTGTAGCCCTGCACGTATGTCTGCCCTCACATCTGCACAGTGCCCGTCTCCTATTCTCGGATCTCCAGAAGCAATGGAGTGCGATAGATGTCAAATCACCTACCTAGTACAGTGTGGGTAATGGGAATTACCTAGACAGTGAGTGCCTGCCCTAATACAAACACAAGATTATGTATGCCTGCCATATCAATAAATGTTTGAAGTAGTTTGGGTGGGTAGCTGCTTCAGCATGCGTGGGCTGCAAAGGAACAAGTAATAGGTTTATTCCATGCTGAAAAGAGAAGAAAGAAAACACAACATTTCGGCTGTGGAGCTTTCTTCGGGTGTAACACCTTACAGTTTCAACAAAAGCAATGGGATTCCATCCAGTTAATGCAGAGCTATACACGAAAAGGGAGGTTTAAATTTGTGCAAATAACGTTTTTGGAAATGCTTTATACATCGTGCAGCCCTAAAACAGACCACCAGGGGGAGACAACGATGCATTTTTAAATTTAAAAGCCATCATATAAATCATTCATATAAATACCATATCCTTATATGCATGAACTGTGTTCTAACAGACACAGCATGTTTTACAAAGCTAGTAAAATCGAATACACTAACACCCAGGTTTCTTTAGCACAGCCTAAGAGTAAATATTAATTTTAATTCCTCAGGCTGTCTTGACTGACAATTTAGAAAACCGATCTACCCAACAGTACTGAAAGAACCCTGCTTCCTGACTAGCTGGTCAAAGTGTGAGATCGAGTGTGCCGTCATTTTCCTCTAAAGTAAATTATTTAATCAATGTACCAGTCTAATACATAGACTACAAAGTCAGCTGTAATTTGACAATTCCTCGTACGTGAAATGCAACAGAATCCCTGTTTATTGCACCATAATGATGAAACAATCAGTGATTATTCTATTCTAGTCTTGTTCCACTTTTTGACAGTTGGTTTTAGTGTGATGTTGGTTATTTCTCTCTCTTACTGGCACATATTCTAAATTTTAGGATTTCTCTGGTATCCTGTTCTTCTTTTACTCATCAGTTTGTATTACAAATTAGGAAGTACAGAAAAAAACCCAAGATATGCTTGTTTAATGCTGACTGCTGCTTTTCCTATTGTTTGCATACTGTACTTACACAGTCTTCTGTCAGTTATGGAGAAAAAAATCTTCCTCCTTTTACAGTAAATATCACAAAACACTGGACCAAGTATTACTTGAGATTAAAACACTCCTTTACAAGGGACAGATACTTTTTGTGGAGGGCCAGCAAATATCCAGATGCTGTAAAAATCCATCATACCCATTAGACCTGAAATCATCTTCCTGTCAAAGAAGTGCACATCAAATATTTAACCATCTATGGACAGATAGTGTATTTAATATGGACATGACTGGAACATGGCACTGAAAAAGTAATAGTGTTCTTTCTTGCATTCTTACCATGCAAAAGACACTTCTTACACACTTTGCTGCCCACAGTTCAGTTAGCACACTTGCAGAGCTGAAAGGAATGCTTGCATGCGCATAATTTAAATCAACTTCTGCACACTCCTCTAGACACTCTACACTTGGCCCCAGAGGCTTGTGGTATTTGGTGTTCCCGATTGAACTCTGTTGCACAGCCGTTAGTGTCACTGTTACTACAACCCCCACAGCTCAATGAGGCCCTTAACTAATATAATTGCGGTTGCTGCAGCACGCAGGCAGTGTGACTAAGTGACATGAGTGGAGCTTTGTGTCTGAAAAGAGGAAGCTCGGGCTTTGCAACAAAGGCTTGGTTCATTCTGTGCACCCCTGCAGTACAGAGCAAGGAAGAGGAGAAGCAGCAGCAAGGTCTAGCAGCAGCAGACAGAAGACAGACACATAGAAGAACCCAGGACTGAGGAGCAATTAAAGAGGGCTTGCTTTTTTCATCAAATTCCCCGGGCCAAGGATGGAGCTGTGGAGGCAGTGCGCCCACTGGCTGATCCAGTGCAAGGTGCTGCCCGAAAATCACAGGGTGACCTGGGAGAGTGCCCAGGTGTGTGAGCTGGCACATGCCCTGAGGGACGGGGTGCTGCTGTGCCAACTGCTGAACAACCTCCAGCCCCACTCCATCAACCTGAAGGACATCAACCTGCGACCACAGATGTCACAGGTAGGGACACTGGAACTTCTTCTTGACTAATTTCTGTTTTTATTAATTATGACAAAACTTCCACAACACTGAATCTTCATGTTATGTCATGTTAGAACAGTGCCACAAACTGTATGCTCCGAGGCCGCTTAATCTAAAAATCAAAACTTTTCTAAAACTCTGGGCCAACTGTTTGAAGCTACCAAACTCTGACTGAACTGGACTGCACAATATATTAGAAAAAAATTCAGGTAACACTTCAGGGCGGTTTAAAGTTTTCCATACTTCTATTGCCCAAGAAACACAGTATTTGATGTCTATTTTTCTTTGGGACAAGCTGCTTTCTCCCTGTCTAAGTAATCTTAGCAATTCAGTTTGTGTTACCCAGCACATTCTCTGTCTCAACTGCTAAAGGTTACAATAGGCAGAATCTAGAGCATTGTCTTGCGTTCAGAAAAAGAAACCTCCATGCTTCTCTGCTGCTCCGGCTGAGGCTCGGTGAGAGACTCTTGCTCATTAGACTCTGCAAAGAACAAGGTTAGGTGTTTGAGAGCCTCACAATTAATTTCATACTCTAAAAATGAAATAACAAAAATGTGTGTGCTGCTTCAGGTCTGCAACCACCCACAGCAAGCCAGCCATACAGTAAACCAAAAAATTATAAATAGGCATACTTTCAGGTTCACAGATTGTTATTTTTGAGTATGCATCATCCTGGCTGTAGACTACACGAGGTGATACTCACAAAATACATACAAAAGAGTTCTCACTCCAACTTTTAAATATTAAAATGATTAAACTAATATGTGTATGATACTTGCGTCAAACAATGTTCAGATTTCGTCTGATGGACCAATATGATTTTTTAGAATGTGCACATCTTGTATGTTTAATAGCAAACATCGCTGAAGCTTTTCTCAATCTAATTTCTTTGAATATAATGCAAATACCATGTAAAAACCTTCTGCCCCAGCATTTCCTACCTGTAACTGAAAAAATTCTTGAATTCAGCCAGATTATTCACTGATGTTGTGTATTAACGTTTAACAACTAACAAAGTATCTTGACAAACATTTAGGTGCTCCAGTAGAAGGCAGTGAAAAAGACATTTGTCTTTAAAACCCACCAACTGGACGCCATTCTTCAGATGCCACAGGCTTTTACACAATGCTCCGAATGTACAGTAATGGGAGGGAAATTTAGATAGCATGTACAGCAGGGATATCCATTCCTAGTCATGGGAAGTCTCAGTCTAGTCAGTCCAGGGGTCCCCAACCTTTGTCCTGGGGAACCCCATCATAGCAGGTTTTGTAGGTCACCATTAAATCACCAGTTTTAAAAAGATTTCAATTGAATTTTATTTTTATATTTTATATCGCCCTTCATAAGACATCACGGAACACTTTCAAAATTATATACATAGATTACACAAACAGGGCTGCACAAATACTGAAAAATGAAATGTAGTGTATCATAGTGGAACTGGGGTGTCCAGTGCCCAATGGTTTCCCTCTCCTCCAGGCACTAGTTGTCTAAAGTGAAGCAGCATTTGAATGGCAATATACTGTATCTAAGGGCCATATTGGGAGAGGTTGTGTGTATTTTGAAAGCAGTTGTGCATCTTCCATTGTGATCAATTAAATGAGTGATTTGTTAAATTTTATAATTTAGAGATTGTTTAGGACACTGGTATTCACTTCTAGTCCTGGAAGGATGCTGTGCCTTCTGGTTTTCCTTCCACCCTGGGATCTTTTCATTTAATCAGCCTACACTACCACTGTTTCCATGTTGTTACTCATTAAGAATTTTAAGTTATCTCTAAAAGCTAGTGGACAGTGGCCCTCCAAGACCACAAGTGAGTATAAGTAATTTAAGGACTAAAATCTAAGTTCTCTTCATCCCTCAAGGACCATAGCTCTCTTAATCGAATGGATGATTTACTTTTTTCATTAACTGCTTGCAAGCATTGCTCGTCTTTTAAAACAGATGACCCATGAGACTTATTGGATGGGGACTCTCCAGGATAAATATTGGAGACCCCAGCACTGACTTGATTGGGGAACAAGGTTGATTAGGACCAGGGATAGAGAGCTCTGGTACACAATGTTGAGAGTCGGATATAGTCGTTGTGTCATCTTCATTGCTGTTGTTTGAATTGGTAATGTGTCGCCCTGCAAGACAAAAGGCACAGTGTAAAGCAATGATGACGGCTGTTGGTTTCACCACTTCATTCTAAGTTTGACATGCCAACACATACCTTGGACAGCCCTGAATGGTTTACATTGAAGTAGTCTTCGAAGTCCTTAGTGCTTTTTGGTAGAGATCTTCAGATAGTATGAAAGTTGGTTCTGTGGAAAGCAGTGCTCACTTAAGATGGTTTGCATTTTATTGAATAACCAAATGTCCTTGCTACAGTAGGTCTTTTCCAAAGTTGTATTGAAAAAACAACAACAACATCTGCATTCCATTACAATATTTCAATTGATTTTGAATTATCAGCCAGAGTTCATGTTAAGGGTTTTGTTATGCGAGCAGTTTCTGATGTTGATTGATGTACAATTAATTGATTTATCAGTTAGCTGATTAATTGCTCTGGTTAATGCCCCACAAGCCAGCGGCCGACCGTTTGGCAGACTTTAATTTCCAGGAATCTGTAAAAACTGGTCTACCTGCAGATCACATTTCACATTACTAACATAGGAAAAACAGGTAACCTTCATTCTTGCCCTTTTCATTTAGAATACACAAAATACTCCCAATTTCCTCTAGTAAATTTACGTGGTCCATATATTTCTTTAATTTCCTGGAAACCCATACAAGTGTAACCAAAACTTAACGATCTGTATTACTAACAGATAAGAACAGAAATTACACTTGATCTGAGCCAATGAAGTAAGTAAAGAATGACTGTGAACAGTGACTGTGAACTAGGGTCCCTACCTGTCCAGGCAATGGCAGGATTGTTCCTTTATTTAGGCGACTGTAATACTTTCCATATTTTAAATGTCCCATATTGTTGTGGGACCCATGATTTTAAGTTCAGCATCTCTCCTTAACATTATTTTAATACATGTACTGTAGTTCTCCCCTCTTCCTGAAATGTAAGCTGTTCTGCTACGGATGAGGTCTTGCTATTCATTCATTAGCATAGGCACATCTTTTCTATTAACCTGCACTGTTAGTTCTTGTATTTTATTGGCTATACACAACTGTAGCAGCCAATCAACTACGCCAGACAACGTTGCTGTCACCAGGTACGTTGCCGAGTGCTGTACAGTTCTGGCGTAGAAGATTAGGCGATGTAGAGTGGAAACTGATTCTGAGGATTGTTTAGAGCACATTTACACAAATTGACAAATTGTCTACGAAAGAGAATGGTTATCCAATAAACTGCAAAAAAATAATGTAAAAGTCAGTTTTCACAAGCCAGAAATGTTTTTATCTTAGTAACACGGAACAAACTGAAGTAGTATGCAGTACATCTGCTTAAATATAGGTAAGATTCCAGTATGTGGTGAGATATTCACAATAGGTTAATCGCAATGTACTGTTTTTTTACATGATGTTGTGTCCCGGCTTTTTTAAGTTTGAGGTGGAAACTTCAGGTCTAGTCTGCTTGTAATTATCCCGGATTGCATGAATTTTTGTCTACACTGTAGAGCTAATAAAAATATTAGCTTAGCGTGTCTGTCACTGTTTTTTTCTTATTCTGAACTCTGACCGAAGCGCCAAGTGAAATTAAACATTTTATGTTCCTGTATGATGGTTTGCACGGTACATTCAGGTTTTTACGGAAGTAAGGCCATTCACACCCTCTTCTTGGATTAGTAATTTCATGCTTCAGTATTCTGTGCGGGTGCACATTGAGTCAATGTACATCTGACCTGCAGGACGTCTGGTAACTCCTGCACGTGCTGTGACGCTGGCCCCCCTGCGCCTGTGCTCTGGAAAGAATGCAGGTCTTGCACAGTTTCTGACTTCCTGATGCTTCGAACAGGGATGGCCACTAACCCCATCAAGCAACCTCATGACTCAGAGAGGCCTTAGACGCTGTCCACTCCCTCTTCCATAGTAAGAAAGCTACTCTTCCCATGGTGCTGAGTCAGAGACACGAAAGGGACATCATTTGGATCACACTTATTTGGTGTGGCTGCATTATTATAGCTTAGCAGAAATTGCAAGTCTAACATTTCTATTTTAATCTTAAGGATATATAGATACAAGGAAGCAAATAAGATTCCACTATCCAGGTGGGCAGCATAGTGTCGCAGTGGTTAGCATTGCTGCCTCACAGCGCTGGGACCCTGCGTTCAATTCTGTGTGGAGTTTGTGTGTTCTATCCCCATGTTTGCGTGGGTTTCCTTGGGGTGTCCCGATTTCCTCCCACAGTCCAAAGACATGGTGTTAGGTTAACTGGCTTCTGCGAAGATTGGCCCTGGTGTGAGTGTGTGCATGTCTCTGTCTGCCCTGTAATGGACTGGTGTCCTGTCCAGGGTGGACCCTGCCTTGCACCCACTGTTTGCCAGGATAGGCTTCGGCTCCATGACCCTGAACTGGAAGAAGCATTTAGGAAACGGGTGGATAGATATTGGTAATAAACCCTCACTTCATGCTTCATGCTTGTTACATTGTTACACAAATGCTATGAATGCAATACACATATTTAAAAAAAAAACATTTTGTCCACTGTAGCCATTCCAGGAAACTCAAAACATAAAAAAATAAAAAAGCTCACATGATGAGAAACCATTTCCATGCGTGTTACTCTGTCTGGGTGTGTCCAAGCTATGGAGAAAATTGATCTTTTTTCTGCCTCAATGATCTTCTTACTCCAGTCCAAAACAGAAAACACGCGGAAAAAAAGATCGGAAAAAAAAAACACTGAGATTCCATGGACATTATTATGTACTGTAGGTGTTTTTTTTTTATAATTCCAAAGGCAAATATCACTGGGTATATAAATGTGTTCTTACTGGTGGGTAGGATTGAAAAAAATACTCCCCCTTGCTTTCTTACATTACATTTCTTGGTAAATTAATTAATCCTGCTTTAATTAATGCATGATTTAGTTTAGTAGGCTTAGACCTCAATGAACCTACTTTTTAATACCATGCGGCTTTAAACAATCTGAATAGCACTGCTTTCATCTACTGTATCTTTTTTAGAGTACAGACGAAGCACTCAAAAATATTGTAGAAAAAAAAGGCATTTGTCATGTTTCCCTCTCTCTCTTCACTCCACTGCAATCAAAATAAAATATTTGATTGTGTCCCTCATAGTGCTTAGTAGTAATCTTCTTAGAAATGCACTGACTGTGAAACCACAGCCATCAGCCGAAACAAAAGGCCCCATCTGTGTGTTAATTTTAATTAGTTTAGGAAGTACTGTGTAACTCTATGCCAATAGAGCAGGATTTGCTCTGAACAGATGAAAGCTCCAAAACACAAGGCAATAGATGATTGAAAGACACGTGGCTCATTTGCTCTCAAAGTTTAACTAAACACCAGACTCCTTCAAAGAGATGGTGCGTGTCCACATTCTTGTGTCATTCTGAGCCACAGCCCACAGATAATCTGTTTTTGCAGCAATCAATCAGTTAGCCAGCCAAATTCACCTTAGTGTGGTCCCCTTTCATTCAAGTAGAATATATGCCAGAACTGTTTCAGAAAAACTGTGCATTGCTAAAAACAAAATGCCTCAACTAAGAAGTTAGATTCAGACAAAGGTGATTAGATTCAGACTGTGTTGAGCTCCTGGAATGGTTTGCTTCATTTAAAGTAATTGCAACAAGTTCTTGTATGACAAAGACAGATGTCAGCTTTACTTGTATGTGTATGATGATAAAAATCCAGAAGTACATAGGAAGCTGAAAATCTGACAATCTATTAATAACTTCATCTGCACTCATGCAGCAGTTTATATTAAACATGAGGTACTACTTTATAAAAATAACAGCTTTTCCTTCCATGGGACAGATACCTTAAAAATAATGAAAAAAGTCATATGAAGAAACACTAGCTGTCCAAAAACTGATTCTGAAGTATGCACTATATTTTTTTGGGGGGGAGTATGGTAAACCTGGTCAAGAAACTGGTTTTGAAGGGCAAAATGAACCTGGAAGTTGCTGTCCAGAATCGGGATAGCTCAGAACAAACCTGAAATCCGATAGCATTTCCATTTCCAGAAAGCTTTCCCCAGACATGTGAAAGTGAAAAGAAACTAAAACTAAATCGCTGAATGGTGCCGATTGGATGTGGTGTTGGTGGAGGTGGTGGTTAAAACTGAAAGAAGGCGAAATTGGCCAAGGAGGCTAAGGGGAAATGGGTTAGCGATGGGCCTCTCATTTCCTCATTCGGCAGCCCTGCTCTTTCGCTGATGCAGCAGGCCCAGAACAGAGGAGGAGTAAGGGAGTGCAGGCAGAGTGCCAGAGAGCACCACAACAGGGGCAAAATCAACAAAAGGAATATGGGGGTGTGGTGTGTGAAGCACTGAGTCTTCCATGATATAAAGCCAGTTGCTCACATGTCAGACATCTCAAACTCCAGGCACTGGGAATGGAGATAGGGACACCTGGAATACACAAATCAGCTGAGATCGAACATTTTGTTGACCATAACTTTTTGGAGAGCGCAAAACAAAATGGGGATGAAGTGTGATTGTTGTTCCTGGATAGTGACTTTTCCAAACAGCTTTTTTTGGATAACTGCCCCCCGCCCCTCTGTTTTCTCTGATTGCATTGCTTTAATTTCCCCTTAGTTTTTTCCTTCATACATATATATCCTTCAGGTATATAAGACATATAAGGAATATGTCTATACCTTAGTACAGGGAAAAGGCATGAAAACTGAACATAACATGTAAGTCTTTAAAAGTTTTAAATTGTTTTTTATTGACTGGTTACCGTCCTTCGAAAATCAGCACACTTCACGTCAGAGCTGGTGTTTAAGAAAGCATTTACAATGTGTTTAACGAGATACATAAACGCTTCATTTCATATATGATAAAGACTGCAGCAGAAGGGTTTCTTGCTGAGGATCTCTGGCCTTGTTGCTGCTGTGGCTTGCAACAAAAGCTCAAGATAGCTTATGAACTCCACACTCACTTATCTCCTAGGAAGAGTTGATACTGACCTGCATGGGTCTTTGTCCCTCTTTAATTCAAAGCGGTCTATTCCATTTTGCCAAGGGTGTGGTGTGGAGGGTTTTCAGTATGAGGTTCCTACTGTCATACACACACAGCTCTGTTTCCAAGTGTAAGAAATGAGGCCATCCAGCCAGTCTCATTGCCTTAATCAATCACTTGCGTTTTATGAAGCCCAGATCTCATTTAGTGCTTGCTGAAGGGTCCCAGGGAGTCTGTTTCAGCGACACTAACTGGAAGTTTTGTTCCAGAATCCCCCAGATCCTTCGCATCAAGTCACATCTCCTGTCCATACATGCTTTCCTTAACATTTTCCGCTTCTGTCTTAGTTTCCTTGTTTTTCACTGTAGCTCCCAAAGCAGCCCTAAACTTTGTCAATACCTCTCAGGGGTTTAAGAACCAAGGCTGTCATCAATGACGAGATGACGAGATGTTAAGGTGGTTTCTCAATGCTTTGAGAGAGGGGGGGGAAGAAATATACGAATGGATTCTCTTCGCAAATATATTTTTCCCTCGCCATAGAGTTAGGCACAATTCCCACCCCAACACCATTAGATATGATCTGGCGTCTACACAGCCCAACAGCACAAGCAGAAAGGGGACCAAAGGTTAGTTTATCCCCATGATTAGCTCCGTCCTCAGATGCTTCCCGTAATTTGTTTGGGATCTCGAGAAGGAAGTACAGTGAGCCGCTTTGTTGGAGCGTGGGAGGGAATTCCATACACCTGGAGATAAAACTGACCTATGCAAACCAGTGACGCACAAAGGAAAAGAGCAGCCGGCCTAGTTTAACCACCGTGTACCCTGAAGAGGAAGTCGATTTCAGAGCTGGAATCGCAGTTTCTGCGCCTTTTGCTGTGGACGTGAGCAGCAGGCAAGGTCAGAGGGGACACGTAATACAGTTTAAGGCAGCAGGGGCTGTGGATTTCTTATAATTCAGCTTTTATGAACACAGTCTGGGCATTTGGCCTGATGATCTCGGCTTACATGAGCCCATAATTGTGTAATAACCGTTTAGCTTGTCAGCCCAAACTTGTTTTAAGTCTTTGTTCCACCAAAACACTTTCTCAGCAGAGAAATCGCTTTTTAAAATGATCGTTTTATATGTGTACACAAATACAGGCCTAAACCATAGGGCACAATAAATATGGATTTTAAAATGATAACAGAAGCATTTAAAGTAAGAACTTTAAATGGCCTTTCGTGCTGGGAAGTGAAACTTAATCCACTGCAAAGTTTTTACTCGAGGGGGGGAGGCACAGTAATACTTCTCTCTGTTGGTGTGGCTACGTCGCAAAACAAGAACACCACACAAATTAATGTCTGAGGAATAACGGAAGAGCTCAATTTGGATTTTATTAGGATTTCCACAGGGGGTTATATACATATCTCGCAAAACGCCTTGCTTTTAAAAGGCAGTCTACCTTATCCAGGTGTGTTGCCAGGGATCACTGCCCGGTCCGAGTAGGGAAGACGGTTGGGGATGACCAGCGTATCTGCAGCTTCCCTACCAGTCTTTCCTCTCTGATGACCGACGCGTAATTTCTCACAACCTGGAAGGCGAGGCTGGGTCAGCGGATTCATTCGACGCGGTTTTCCAGTCAAAAAACACTCCAACTAACCACGTACTGCGTCTGCGGCGCATTTATGTTGCCCTTGGGCGTTGAACCGAACAGTGCTCCGACTGGGACGCACGGAGAACGACGCGTTTGCCCAGACAAAATTCACGTTGAGCTGTAAATCCAGAAAGTATTTGAATCGGTTGACAGGATAACTTTTTTTTTTTTCACGCGGGTCTGGCGTCGGTCTGCTGGTTGCCCCTGTCACGCGCCAGTCGCAGTCAACGCCGCAGTGCGCACACCCCAAAGCTCGCGCGCCGGAGCACGAGGCCCCCAGCGCCCCGCTTCGAGTCGATGTTTACGCTTCTAAGCGCGCTAGCTGAAGCGCACAAAATCGTCTCACCAAGAGCCACTGCCTCTCCAAGAAAAACTGTTCCCCGAAGGACGTGCTAACGAACCCGAATACCATTATTTCCCCCCAGAACTGTCGGGCGAAAGCCTGTCGCTTAAGTGGTTGACGTGTCTTGGCCCGAAGTAAGCCGGCGGGTGTCCCCGTACGTCTCGGATCCAGTTTGTTTTCAGTGAACCGTTTAGCTCAAGAATCGTCTCGAACATGGACGCCGTAAAACCTTTATTACTGAGATAAACAAGTCCAAAGAGGTCTTCTCATCCCCAGCTAGGACACCGCAAAAATATAAAAATCTGGTCTGAATGCTGTTTCATCTGCTGCCGTAGGGACAAAGCGTGAGTATCGTATTCAGTAGGCCACGTTACAGTCATATAATGGAATATATTATAAAATATCATTTCATTTATTAAACAATATTGTATGTGGTTTGATTTCACAGTAGCTCTGGTGTCCTTGCTACGGTGTAACATACAATTAGAGGCAAACGGAGCAAAATCCCTCAGCAGCATCCCAGGGAGTGCAGTTCAATAGGGAGCTGCTTCTACAGGCGGAGGCTGCAAAGGAACAAGTGAAGGTTTATTCCTTTGTGAAAAGAGAAGAAAACACAACGTTTCGGCTGTGTGTGGAGCCTTCTTCGGGTGTGACACGCAGCCGAAAACGTTGTTTTTCTTCTCTTTTCAGCATATAATAAACCTTTTTTTTGTTCCATCCCAGGGAATGGACGATAAACGTAATTGTTCAGCTTCAACGGCTTCCAACATGAGTATTTTTTTTTTTGTAGTTAGGAGTTTCGTGCGTCCATATGTTCAAAATCTGAATAGCAGGGCGGCCAAGGCCCGGACAGCGGACAGTCGGCGCCGGTCGCAGGGTCACAGGTGGGGGCCTGCGCGCTGAGCCTGGCCCGCTTCTTGTCGGGGGAGGCCCCGGGTGTCATCGGTGGCGGCGGAGGTGCGCTGGAAACCCGCAGCACAGAGGAAGAGGAGGAGGAGGAGGAAGGGAGAAGGGGGGGCTGGCGGCCGTAGGTGGCGCTCCCTGAGACGGAGCTGGCGCTGCAGCAGCTGTGGCGAGATGTGCGGTGGATGTAACGCTTTCAGGATGATTTGAACTAGAGTGAAGCCGCCCATACCCCCCGCCTTCCCTCTCTCTCTCACTGACTTTCACTCCCACTCCCCGGTCGGATCCTCTCGCTCGCTGCTACTCTCTGTCTGGAGGGCTGTGCGCCCGTGTGTGTGTGAGAGAGAGACTGTGTAGGTGTGTGCATAAAAACGAGATAAAGGTACGCTTGTAGATTCTTGCCGAGGACAAGTTATCAGAGGCACACTTACATAACAAGTAACTAAAACGGCTTATGTAACGAAGCGAGAGAAGGCTTTCCGCTCCTTAGCTTGGTAGTTAATTGATCAGAGGATCTCATCCAGCCATTGTTCTTAGTGGAAGCTAAGGGGATGGATTTCAACATCGTGCCTGAATGGCTTGTTCCATGCTCCCACAACTCTTTGTGTAAAGTAATGCCTCCTCTTCTCAGCTTTCAGTGTACTTCCACTCAGTCTGTACTTTTGTCCCCTATTTCATTATTCACTGTTGGCTCTGGAGAAGTCCACTGGGTCGACTTTGTTGATGCTTCTGAGGATTTTGAATTCAAGGGTCTTTTCAGTGTACAGGAGGTACCATGCTTGTCCTCTGTGCTTGAGGGGAAAAAAACCTTACAAGGGCACTTTTCTTTTCCCTGTGCTCTCTGCATTAGAGTTTTATGGATCAAGCATGTGGTGCTTTATGAATCATTTTTCTCTCGTGTAAAACTGCTTGTATTTTGGACTTGGCTTAAAATTCAGTCTGACACATAATAATTCTTTGGCTGTACAGAAAAGCAGCCACTTTAGAGGACACCTTTTAATTGTAAACTAGTCATTTTTAGCTTCTTGTAAATTAATTTATGGGCTTCCTGTAAAGGCTTGAGCTGTTATTAAAAAAAAGAAGAAGGCCGTGTTTTGAAATGGTGACGGGCAGATAAGACTGATTTGAATATTCTTTTTTACCTGTGACGCAGCTATTCATGTGAAGACATCACAACCACAAAACCTAACCCCTGGTGACTCCATTCTTTTTTTTAGAAAGAAACATTCTCTGTAAAGCCATTACATCGTCAGTCTGTAACTCCGTCTTTCTTGTGAGCAGGAACAATTTAGAAGAAAGGGCAACTGCGAGCGAAAAAAACAAATCTCGCTTGTTTTGATGGGGAAATGAAATTTGTTTCGAATCCTTTTCAGAAGGAAGCCCACGGTGCCCCGTGTGGGTGTTAGGAGGAGATACGCGCTGAGTGTTGAAAGCTCTCAGTGGCCCAGCATGCCCTTCTCCAAACCGCCCTGGCAGTAAGGAGTCTAAGTGGGTAAGACTAAGTGAGCTGTTAGAGACAGCGCGTCTGGGCCCATATAATGTGAACTCCACACTGCGCGTTACCACGAGCTGAAACCGCAGATCGTGTGCTGCTAGTAATTCTCAGCTGCGACAGTTTTTTTTTGGGGAGTTCTTGTGTTTGAGTTCTACGTGTTAACACAGTGTAACTTTCCTCCTTTCTTCAGCTGTTGGTTTTACCGTTTTTTTTTTTCGAAGAGTGCGGCGGGCGAGCAGGCGTGCGGGCAGGCGGCTGGCCGGTGCGCCTCTCTTTTTTTTCTTTTTCTTTCTTTTCTTCCTGTGCCGTTGAAGGCCCGGCTCTCGGTGACTCGACCACCTCCAGCCGCAAATTCCCGGCCCCGGGTCTCAATGGGTGTTTTTCCACTGCGCCGAGGTGTGAAGTCTGCTGTCAAACAGAAAGCTGCTGTCACACATTGGGTTTGTAGTCTTTAACTGGTGAGAAGGGCAAAGATTTGGTGTAATTCGGGCCTAATTATGTTCTCGAGATATTAATCCAATTAGCCAATTCAGTTTGAGGAGCAGTGAGCAAGGCAGTCCAAGTGACAGCTCTAGGATATATGTGGTTTCATTCAGGGAGTGGGGAAATCAGGAGGTCTGGTCAGTTCCAGTTGAAACGTTTACCTTGAATTCAAGGGGACTGCTGTTCCAGGAAATACACTCCATAATCAGAAGAAAACCCCCATCGCTTCAAAAGTGAAAATGAGATTTTCACTGGAGTTGGGGTTTTTCCAAGCCCTAGGGCCTGGTGACCATGTTGGCAGGGCTCTGACCCCCACAAAGCTCCAAAACGTCCAAAATGTCCAACAGGGCGGACAAGAACACCAGCTGGAGATGCATGCGAAACCAGCCACTGGCCTGAGGAAGAGACAGCCGTAAACGAGGCTAAGTTTATCTATCACTCTGGGTAAACCCCTGCTAGACAGAGCACAAGCTTCAGCCTGAATTGCCTTGGCCTGGTGACACCCCGAAAAAAAAATCTGACTGAGGAGTTACGCACAGTTATGTCTCGTACAGAGTTTCATATGCCATGTGTCGTGTGGCTGGTCTCCTCTTTGGTAGGGGGTTCTAAATGAGGACGAGGAAGACCCAGGTGAAGATGGTGGGGCTGTCACCTGCTACAGCCGCATCAAGACCCAAAGGCCCGAAAATCGGTGAATGAGGGGGACCATACCAAGGATGCCTGCAAGCTACTATCTTGTCTGAAACATCCCTTTTTCTAGTCATCTCTCCCTGGTAGGGGAAAAGTAAAACTGGCACAGGGCCACAGGGGTGGCATTTTCATAGACCTGCAAGGTGCAGAACAAGTGTGACAGATTCCCTACAGCGATTAGATCAGTGCAGTCTTTGCACCAGATTCTGTCTCACAGTGAGAGGAAAAGCAAAGAAGACACACCACAGCACGAGCATAAATACTATCAAAACACCCTTGGCTTTGTGAGAGTTTTATTGTCCCCCCCAAACAACATCAGATCTGGACCAACAAATGTCGCAGTGACTCAGAAATCCTAAGCAGAAGAATTGTCAGGTACTGGGGTGAGGCCATACAGGCCATTCCTGCAGTTCCTGTGGAAAGACTGTGGGGTCAGGCTGCAGCCTGTTGTAGAGGATAGTGTTGTGTGCAAATGTTAAGAGATTTTTTTCTTAAGATGGTATTGAAGGCAGTTCAAGATGTATTTTTTAATGCTAGATGTTGTATACTTTTTTATGGTGTTGGGGGAGGGAAGACGAGTTGTTAGTATTTTTTTTTTAATGAGCGAAGCCAAGAAAACCAGTGTGCTAATTCTAGGTGTTTGGGCATGGTATAGAGACCACCCCCCCCCCTTTTTTAAATTTTAAGAATTATTTTAATTCAAAGAGTAATTTGTGATTACAGTACATAGCACACCTCATGGCAAATGTTATTATTTGCCATATTATATTTGTCTCTTTTACTGTGAGTGATCAGATAAAGAGGTGGAAGTCACAGTCTTGACATGAGTCTGTAAAAGGTTCTGTTTGCAGGTTGTCATTATCCTACAACATCCTCGCAGAACTTCCTTCTTTAGAAGGGGTGCTCAAGCGTGCAGTGTTTCACAAGCTGAAGCAGAGCCTCTAGCTTTATCTTCACGCACACTAATCTCAATCTGAATAGAAGCCAGCGGCCAAATTGTGGTCTGCCTCTTCTTCTGCAGAGACAGCAAGCTGGTGGTTTCTGAGTCAACTATTGCAAAACCCCAGCTAAATCCCTTAAAACATACATCCGTAACCTTGTCCTTCAAGGCAGATATAAGTGATGTCAAACAACAGTCTTGTAAAGTAATGGAACAGTCATAGAGGGGAAAGGTTGTTAAGGTGATCTTCAGAGTAAAATCAGTGCTCCTAGACTCTTATTACACTATGCATTTGGTGCAGGTCTACAAGGTCAATCCAAGATCCATGTTCTCCCCTAAGAACCACGATTTATACTTCTGATTTTAGATTGAGTCTATATGGAGCGAAATTCAGCATGGAGTTTGCTTTACAGCAAGAAAAAGAAACACTTCAGCATCCTGTACATGATCAATAGGAATTGATGCTACTTACAAAGGATATTTTTGTGAGCTCTGTTTTTAGGACAAATTATTGCATTCAGGTTTTTTTTATTAATCTATAAAAAGAAGGACATTAAAACCACTGGTAGCACTTCTGTAGTTTGTGTCCACTGAAGC